TTCCTCTTCTCTATCTTTCTTTCTTTCCTTATTTTTTCTCCTTTCCTCTCTTTCTTTTTCCAACTGCTTTTCTTTTTTTTCTTTTTTTTTTCATTCTTTCGCTTTCTCTTTTTCTCTTCCTTTCTTTCTTTTTTTCCTCTTTTGCTTTCTCTTCCTTTTTCTTTTTATTCTCTTTTCGTTCTTTTTCCTCCCTTTTTCCGCTTCTTTTTATGTACTTTTTTGTCTTTCTCTTCTCTCTTTTTTTCTCTCTTTTTCTCTTTGGCAGGATTTCACGGAAATCCATGTGATCATAGATGAGATCGTTAAATATTCCGTGCGCGTTCTGCCGGGTCTTCTCGTTAATAACATCACGCATCTTGAACATCTTTCCGTGTTCATGGGCCCTGCAGCTGCGTGTCTACGGGTGGAGCGCAAATCTAGTCAAGTTTCATATAATACTCCCACATAAAATATTTTATTGTAATATAACTTTTAGTCGTACATTATAAAGTTAAAGAATCTTTACAACATTTATAACTACGACACTATAGTATTGCATATATCTATCGGATCAATTCATTCTCTTTGTTATATGTACATACATTGTTAATATTGTATTCAACAACTCAGGATTTTGTTTTCTGAAAAGCAGACATTTATATTGCAATAATATATTATAAAAAATGTATAAATGTTTTTTTAATAGAATGTTTTTAAATAAAATATTTATATGCATATTCAATTATACATATTCAAAATTTTATGACATATATGGTTTATTTATTTCAATAAAAAACCTAAATAGTTTTTATATATGTATATGTATAATGTTACATTCTCTGTTATGTATGTCATAATCTCATATAACATACAAAAAATGATGCAGAATTATTTATTTATTAATAAGTATGCTTGGTGATATATTAGAATTCTAATTAAGTAAATGATAAATTAATAATTAGGATATATAATGAAATAAAAATATTAAATATTTATTTATTCAAATTCTTTATAAAAACTTCTAAAAATATATATAAATTACACATTCAGACATTGTTAGTTTTTCAAGAAAGTAAATGACCTATTTTGTCTTTGTACAGCAAAAAGTTATCATACGAAAATAGAAACTTGATATTATATAAAGTCATGTACAATATTATTCTTTAATGACAAATAATAATAAAATATACAAAAAGATATAATCAAAAAAATTGGAATATTTAATTACTTTTCTCTGCCTTACACACACACACACACAAACACACGTAAATTATGTGATACAATAAAAAAAACTATACGCTTAACAAAATTAAAATAATTTTAGAAATTTTAAATATCTTTAGCGAAAAAAGTGATAATATTCTTCTTGAAACTAAGTACACATAAAAGCAAGTATTCGCTATCTTATTTTTATTTGGAAATAAAATTAAAGTCAAGTGACCCAAAAAAACCTGATGTAGAATAGATAATACAATTCTCTTGTATTAGAGTGGATGTTATCAATGTAAAGAGAATAAAGAGAATATTCTCTTGTATTGGAGTGGATGTTATCAATGTAAAGAGAATAAAGAGAATATTCTCTTTTAGAAACGGATTTGATTTACAGAAATTCAATAAATAATATCTTTATTGCCAATGTGGATAGAAATTAATGATTATACGATACTGTTAATTATTAACAAATTTATATGTTTGGAATTTAATTTAAGATTTATAGATTTTGAAATTAGATATTTATTTGTTTTAAGTCTTGATAAAACTTTCATTTAAAATTTAGTAGTTTGAACATTAATCAGCTATTAAATTTGATCCTTTTACATTGATAATTTATATTTACAAATGTATGACATGAGAAAACGCAATTTATAATACATAAATATCAGAATTAGAATTTTTGTTGATGATTAATACATCAATTTGAAAGCGAAATAAATTTTTCGCAATAGTTACATTTCACTGACCATTTTGATTTTCATACATATATATATATATATATATATATATATATATATTATATAGAATCCTGAATATATCTATGTACTTTGAATCATGTTGCGGACTTCTAGTTTCTGAAATACGACCCTTTAAAATATTGTATTTTTATTCCTGATTATATTCAGTTTTCCATACTGCATATTATTCATGCCCATCCATTTTTTGACGTCTTCTGTTTGTGTACGCTATCTCTTTTGTCTTCAATATGATTGTTATATAATCATCGATAGATTTTATTCTATTTCTGTTTTATTTCTGTCAGTTTTTAAACAATTTTCAAAATGCGATTGCATGAGTATTTGAATGCAGAAAATAACTTTTTATTGTTCTATTTTACTTCAAAACACATGAGAGAACAAGGAATATATTTTCCCAAGCAATAATCATTATATCAGTGCTGTTATTACATTTATTCTTTTAATTTAAGTCTTAACATTTACATATTTGAATAAGAATGCAAAGAGTTATTAAACGGAAATTAAATTTTAAAGTTAAGTCAGGAGAATGAGTTACATAAGATTCTGCATTTTTTCTGCACAAATTAATTGATGACAATGCAGAACGCTGTTGTATATATATGTTGGCCATTAGGTTATAAAAACAAAAACAACTGAGGAAAGAACAAATACACTTATATCTTCGATAAATTATCTATCTTATTATTGTAAATGCATGATGCAAGCTTTCCGTATCATTCTACAGATTCAGTCTATTTTTCTGTGGCTTAATAAAAACATCATCTCAGAAACAAGTCTCTTGTCAGAAGAGAATTTTCTGTCCAAAATTTCAGATTATTTCCAATTAAATTCATAATTAAATTTGAGTCTGTGATTCGTTGTGACCAAGAACTGTAAGGTATATTTATATTTTATGTAGATGTGATTCTGGTGTTTGGAAATTTGCTTTTTCAGTTGCCTATTAATTTGACTGACATGAGATGTTTCTCAAAATCTTTGCACGAGATTTTATGTATTAAATTGTTACATGAATATTTCTGTATCTTTATGAATTTTAATATCTTTACAAGTCTTGTTTATGTGTCTCTCGATCTTTCGAAGACTGTGTCTCTAACCGGCGAATGCTTTCCAATGACTTTTCTGAATATACTTTTTTGAATATATTATAATTGAAAATGCACACATACATACATACATAAAAGTTATCTCTAATCGCAATTAAAACAACAATGTTGTGGTGTAGTACAAAGACTATAACATCGATTAGGACTAAAACGAAATTCCGCGTAATCCCTTTCCAGATAATTGCTTCTCCTTGCTCTCGCGGCTGTAATCTCCGGATAATAATTACGTTATTTAGGATTTATAGTAAATTACTCCAATCGTGAGAAGGACACAATCCTTCACGTACAGATTAATATTCTTTAAAATAATAAAAGTTAAACTTATATGTATGTATATATGCTGGCACATGAATATATATATATATATATATATATATATATATATGTGTGTGTGTGTGTGTGTGTACGTGTAAACGTGTAGTAAATTTTAGCAGTCAAAGTGTGTCAATATAAATAAAAATGTGAAAAAGATATCATGTAATATAATTTTATGAAAATTTTATCCAAAAAGTATAACAAAAATTATATAATATTTAATATACGCGCACACACACATACATGCATGAATGTATAAATATAAATTAATTCCACAACAATTAATTGTTAATGAATTGTTGTATACTCCTGGACAAAATTGACACATATTTTTTTTCACTTTTTCTTTAAAATAAAAATTTTTCTTAAAATTTTTGTATAACGTAAAAAAATTTCAAGAAATAATTAGTTCTTGTTTTTTTTGTTAAACTGTGTTATCATAAATAAATCATGTCGCTACTGTTAAAAACAAGATATATAGTGAGATAATATAGTGAGATAAAAATATTTTAAAGCAAATATTTTGTAAAAATAGCTATTTACATTAATGTTATGAAAGTAATTCATAAACGCATAGGAATATTATATGACAATAAAATTAGGAAATATTTTATTACTTATTTTACTAAAAAATATCTTCTTTGGCGACACATTTTTTAATATTCTTTTATTAAATCACATTATCACAAATTCATTTTATACTTTTATATAAAAACAATTATAATGATAATAATTCAAAAAATGTTGCATTTTTTATATTTATTAGATTAAAAAATTCTTTGTAAAATTGCAAATTAGGTAAAATTATGTAATAATTAATGTAAAATGTAATAAAAATGCAAAACAATTGATACCAATATAACGAAATTAATTGTTATGTTATAGAAACACAAAAGTAATTTTTACATTTATTAATACTAATAAAAATATAACAAAATTAAAAAACATGAAAATTTTACTCCTTTACGTTTATCGATAATCTCTCTGTGTGTATGTGTGTGTGTGTGTGTATTAATGATTTATTATAATATATCCTCTTAAAAGCTAATTCTATAATCATATATAAATAGATCAATATAAGTAGATTTGAAACACTGAATAAGTGATAAACAAATATTAAAAGATAATAAAAAAATGAGATTGATACAAAAAAATAACTCCATACAATTAATAATTCCAAAATCTTATTTTTGTTCTTTGATATCAATCATAAATTAATTTTTAAGATAAAAATTGTATGTAAAAGTTTTTCTATTTTGCTTTCTTTTTCTCTAAACTGAACGGTGCAAAGCTTATCAGTGCTTCTTACCAAAATGGAAGACAATGCTAACAGTTGTCGTAGACATATCTCTGTGTATTTTAGTGATTAAAAACCAAGAATTAAAGTAGGATATAGATAGATAAAACAATGTGATAGTAACAACGTGAACATCACATGAATAAATGAATAGAAGTAAGAAAGAGAAACAAAAAGGAAGAGAGAGAGAGAAGGAAAGAGAACAAAAGAAATTAAAGAAAAGAAAGGAATGAAAAAATGAAAATAGAATGAAAGGTAAAAAGAAAAAGAAAAGAGAGTGTAAGGAAAAGGGAAAATGAGAGATAAGAGGTAAACAAGGGAAGGAGAGAAAAAAAGAGGAAGAGAGGGAGGAAAAGGGAAAGAGATGAAGGAATAGGCGAAAGAAAACAAAACAGAAAGCGAGGAAGAAAAAAAATGAGAAAGAAAATTGTAGATGGAGAAAGAGAAAAAGGGAGAAGGAGAATCGTAGGAAGCAAGGACAATGTTTGAAGATTGAGTCGCTTGTAGATACGACCGCGCGGCTTATGCGCGAGGCGTACGCCACCACCACGGCTAGGACTGCCACCACCATCAGCACCACCTCCATTTCTACCTTCTCGATCAGTCGACCCCGTGCAACGCGGCACGCCGGTTGCCGCGTGATAACTGTGTCTACGTACGTAGTGTTCTCTTTGTGGCAACCCGCCGGAAACGTCGAAAAAATCGAAAAAATCGAAATTTTTAAGGGTTGTCATCGAGTAGCAAAAAAAAGGACAGGAATACGTCACGAGAATCAGAGTGACAAAGAGTCATCACTGGAAACGATATTTTGGAGGGAGGGGGGTGAAAAAAAGGTCAAGTTAGCGGAAGCAATTGAGAGGTAAACTTCCGGCGCGTATATATTGCACACGGAAATGTGTATTGGACGGAAAATAAGGATGAATTTAGAAGGCAGAAGGGAAGGAGGGAAAAGAAGAAAAAAAAAGAGAAGACATATCATGGCAGAGATAATCGCATTAAAGAGTGAAAGTTGGCTATTTGAAAAGTCGCCATTGATGAGAAATAGCTTATTGCTATTGCTGTGACTTCATGATGCAAAGGAACACTTATAATTCTTATAAAATAGTGCTTAAAAATTATTTTAAAGGACTGAATCAAAAGAGTGATTATTTTACAAAATAAGCTCTGAGAAATAATTTATTATATTCGTTTTCATAAGAAGAAATTAAGAATGTATTTGAAAGAGTACTAATCAATTGTTTTATACAGAAAAATATATCTATTCGATAAAATGTTCCTAATAAGGAACATATTTGTTATATGTTAGAGGCAGGAATGTAAAATATATATGAAAAAATGTGATATAACAAAAAATGTAATTTTCTAGTTTTTAAAAAAATACACACGCACACGCACATATATATATAGTAATTGAGAACCATAATACAATCAAAAAAAGAATAATCCTTGTAAAAATAAATAAAAATTAAAGATAAAACTTTGGAGACTTTATTTTCGCAAAAATTAAAAGATTTTGAAAATTTTGGAAAATGAATGACATATTTATATTTTTTGTGGGTTCAATAATTTTGTGTTATTAGAGTTGTCTCCACGATATTACTAATACATAAATATCAAAATACATTAATCTATTATACAACTTATAATAATTTAAGATACTAAAGAAAAAGGGGTAGAGAGAGAAGGAAAGGAGAGAGAGGAAAGAAGACAGGAGAAAGAAAGAGAGAGAGAGAGAGAGAGAGAGAGAGAGTGTGTGTGTGTGTGTGTGTGTGTGTGTGTGTGTGTGTATGTGTGTGCGTGTGTGTGAGTTATAATATGTAAAGTATCAAGTTTTATTTTTTAAATAATAATTATATTTAAGATTTAAAAAAAAAAAAGATTTTTATTGTGATTGTAATTATCGCGATAAATTCGATAATAACACAAGATTGTTAAGGATTAAGCTTAAAAAGCATACATATATATTATTACAATTTATATTATTACAATTTAGATTATGTGAGTATTTTATCAATTTTTTAGATTTAAAAAAACGGAATCTTATACAAAAAAATTTTATTTTATATTTTTTGCTTATATTTCTTTACAATTATCATTAAGAGATTTTTCTCTCTTTAATTATATTGGTTCATTCTTTTGATCTGTATAAAATTTTACATGATAGCTCTTTACAATTACATACACAACATAAATTTTAAAATGTTTCTTACTACAATTTATTACACTTCAAAACTTTTCAAATAAAGTTTTGTTTATAACTTTTTTATTACATTATCCCAAGCGAATAACGATTATGTGATTTCTATGATATATTTTGTGCAATTTGTAAATATTTTACACTGGAAAATGCATATAATGTATAGATGTAATCAAAATTTATGCACAATGGAAATTTAATTTATAAAACGTTTTTTTTAAGATTTTAAAAATCTTAGGATTATTAATTCTATTTTTTTGTAATTAAAGAGAATTAATTGTTTTATTTGTTAAAAACATTTAGCTCTAAACATAAAAATCAGTTGAATATTGTTCTTTCCCCCTTTCCTCTCTCTCTCTCTTTTTCTCTCTCTCTCTCTCTCAATCTCTTTCTTTCTTTTTTATATTAATTACTTATAATTATATTTTATATTAATTACTTATATTAATTACTTATAATTAAAAAATTGATACGATTTATGACTGTAAGAGATCCCAGAGTCTAATGTGCAAAATTATGTGTTGCAAAATTATTCTTTCAATGGAGACTTTTCTTGATGAAATTTTTATTTAATTTTGACGTAGCAGTTCTCAGAACTAAGTTGCTAAAAATGCTAAATTTTATTTTCTAAATAATATAGTGCTAATTTTATTTTCTAAATAATATAGTACATGGTGAACGTTCAACGGCTAATACGTTGACGCAGAATCCCATCGAATCTTCGGTTCATGAAGCTTTAATGATGATTCGTAGCGGACTGCATTATTGCAATCGACACTGTGTAGTATTCTGGCGTTGTGGTTTATGGCGGATACTACAATCGGAAGTAGAAACTGTTTCACGAAATACGTGAAATTATTATCGTGCGTCGCAAACAGTTACACAATCCGATAATTGTAAATAGGAATGTTATTACTAATATTAAGTGTAATTTACGTGATTAGTGATTGAGAAGTATATATATATATATATATATATATATATATATATGGCCAATTTCACACATAAACATCATTTAAAACAGTTACACAATCGGACAACTGTAAATAGGAATGTTATTACTAATATTAAAAGTGTAATTTACATGATTAGTGATTGAAAAGTGTATATATATATGGCCAATTTCACACATAATCATCACTTAAAACAGTTACACAATCGGACAACTGTAAATAGGAATGTTATTTCTAATATTAAGTGTAATTTATGTGATTAGTGATTGAGAAGTGTATATATATGGCCAATTTCACATATAAACATCACTTAAAATTTAAACATGGACATTATTTCCTTCTATTCTTTTCTAAGCCTTCTAAGTTAAAAAACAAAGAAAAAAATAGAGAATGCAGATTAATCGATTTTGGTGAAATTAAATTTTAATTGCAAGAAAAAATAATATTGGTACTAAACACGTGCACGATTATAGTGATTATTTTATCGTGCGAAATATTTTTAAATATGTGAAGAAAAATATGACAGTTATATAATTATTTATAAAAATAATTTTATATCATACGCGTGATAATTATTTATGATTGAGAATTCACATATGCATTTACAGGCAATAATTTTTATATATATATTATAAAATTGTGTGATAATCATATTCTTTTGTAAAGAGAATAATTTTACATAATAATGTAATTATGACTTAATTATAAAAAAAATTTATATTACACGCGATAATAACTTACAAATTTTTATCTCAATAATTAATCTATCTACAATAACCGTATCCTTATTTTATCACGTTATACTATTTCTTATTATTTATTAAAATTGTTCCACAAAAAGTTTATATATTTAACGTGAAAAGTATTTGACTTTCTTAATTTTTCTCTAAATAGGCTTAGAAGTATTGAAAGAGGGGAGTTGGTAGAGGGTAGTTCTCTTACCGCCGGCCTTTCACTTGCTAACTTGTTGAGTCTCTCTCTTGGCAGATACAGTCCCCATGGGAAACGCTTTATGACAATTCTAAATCTTTTATGTGGATATTATTTTTCAATTACCTATAAAAGTTTTATAGTAAAAAGAGTATCCGTTGTAACATATCGTTGTAGCGATGTAATGTATGTGACACTCGCTTTTTATGAAAGATTGAAATTAAGATTGATATTTTAAACAATCTAAATAAATATCTTAATATTCATGTTTTAATATCTATCGCATAAAAAAGTAATAGAAATAGATAAAAAGTTAACTCAATAAAATATTAATCTCAGTGTAATATTCAAATCAAATGCGAATGAGCAGTATTATTGCAAAAGGAATGATTTTTTAGCGAAGCAGAAGGACCACTTTGGAGGAATAAAGTTTTTACACAAACTATCATGTTTTATAATACTGCGATTGAAAACGATTTATTTTTATCGTTTTGCAATAATAATTAAATTAAACTTCACTTAATGTTACTAAAGTAATTACGTAAGAAATGAATCATATTTTTATCTTATCTTTTTTGAATTATGGCGCAAAAGCTGATAGATTGAAATAATTATTGGCGCAAAAATATTTGTATATATCTTCACAAAAATTTGTATTTTAATGCCGATTTTGTGCGGAGGTGGATTAACATTTCGTTAAATTGTGTTTAATCTGTTTTCAATATTGACAAACTGCAAAAATTATTCTTTTTTAAAAATCGAAATCAGATATAAGACAGCAAAAATACGCAGGATGTTTTATAGCTTTCCACAGTGTAACAAAGTTTTCCTTTGTTAAAAAGCAACACGCAAAGTGCATTGAATGCAACTTGTAAGATTGACGATTTACCTAAGGGAACTCTATCCCTCAAAATCGTCTTACTCTTCGCCAAAGAATCACTTTCTACTCCCGTTCGCCCATGTTCTTGATACATCACGTGCATAAGTGGAAACTTCTTTCCTATGTATCTTCCTAGATGACAACGAAGACATCGGGATAGGTGATTCCTGAAGCGTGCAAAATTCTGGCAAACTAGACGCGTGCTGAATGAAAACTCAACGAGTTTATCTACGCGCAAAGGACGCTTAGTGGAGTATTTAATCATCAAATAATGATGATTAAATAGTCGAACTCTCGCAGTGCTACTTGTAGTGACCACACAAGGATCCCCACTCGCGAGAACCACGTCAAACACGATCAATACAACAGACAAGACAATTGTTTCTTATCGAATACAAGAATATTCAATTCGATCATGAGTTTTTGGATGAATTGTCCATCGTTGTTGCTGTTGCTGTTAGGCCTAAGCCTGCACAGCGCGTGCATCACGCGAGCGAACGTCGCCGGCCAGCATGGTGGCCAGGACAATGGTCACGACGATCCTCTGTTGGTGCAGACTACGACCGGCTTGATGCGCGGTTTCGCTCGTACGGTGCTTGATCGCGAGGTCCACGTATTCTACGGGGTGCCATTCGCAAAACCTCCGGTTGGGCCGTTGCGGTTTCGTAAGCCGCTGCCAATCGAACCGTGGCACGGAATTTTAAATGCTACAACGTTACCCAACAGTTGCTATCAGGAGCGTTACGAGTACTTCCCTGGTTTCGAGGGCGAAGAGATGTGGAATCCAAACACTAACATCTCCGAGGATTGTCTCTATCTAAATATCTGGGTGCCACAAAAGCTGCGTCTGCGTCACAAACCAGAGTCACAGGACAACGCCGGTAATAATGGCATGGCGATATTAGTATGGATCTACGGTGGCGGTTTCATGAGTGGTACCGCCACTCTGGACGTTTACGACGCCGATCTCATGGCAGCGGCCGGGAATGCGATAATCGCATCGATGCAGTATCGAGTGGGTGCTTTCGGTTTTCTGTACCTAAATCAGCATTTTACTAACAGCGAGGAGGCACCGGGCAATATGGGCCTTTGGGATCAAGCTTTAGCTCTTCAGTGGCTTCGCGAAAATGCACGCGCCTTCGGCGGCGATCCCGACTTGATTACAATCTTTGGCGAATCCGCAGGCGGCAGTTCGGTATCTCTACATCTGATCTCACCGGTTACGCAGGGTTTGGTACGTCGGGGGATTCTCCAGAGTGGTACTCTGAACGCTCCATGGAGTTATATGACCGGTGAAAAGGCGAATGAGGTAGCCCGAATATTGGTAGACGATTGTGGATGTAATTCGACGATGCTGCAGGAAAATCCAGCGCGAGTTATGGCCTGCATGAGGTCGGTGGACGCAAAAACCCTCTCCGTGCAGCAGTGGAACAGTTATTGGGGTATCCTCGGCTTCCCGTCGGCACCCACTATCGATGGCGTCTTTCTACCTAAAGATCCGTTGGACTTGGTCAGAGAGGCGGATTTCAAAGACACCGAGATCCTGATTGGAAATAACGAAAACGAAGGTAGGGACATCAATATTTGTGTATGTGTGTGTGTGTGTGTGTGTGTGTGTGTGTGTGTGTGTGTGTGTGTGTGTGTGTGTACAAGAGTGTTGTTTTACGGTGGCATTATTGCGACGCTATTTATGGCCGGTGGCGCGGTTAAGCCACCAGCATATTATATGGCTTGGCTTTTTGTGAATGAAAATATGTGTCTACATGCCTTCACATGGCATTTTTAACAGAAAGATGTGAAACAAGACAATTTTTATAGATTTTTAGATTTTTATTTTATAATTATTTTAATATGTCGAAAATTCAATTTGCACGCCAATTCAGTTTACGATATAAAGATGAATAATAACTTGTAGAGATTAAATTTATCTCGTGATTTTTTCTTTTTATATTACTTCCGATTCGGTGGAAAAAATTATTTTTTTTTGTATAATATTATTACATAAATGCAGAATTCATATGTTGTTTATTATCATTATCATATATTGTTTATTATCAAACTTGTTATATTTAAATTAATCTTTTGATGATCTTTTATTTTATTCATTGATTTAATGTATTTTATATTTTTAGTTTTAAATATTTTTTCTTCGAAATAAATTTTTGATTAAAACTTTTTCCAATAAAAGATTTTTTCAAATCGATTGCGAAATTTATGTGCATCTTTAAAATTTAATTAAAATAAATATCGGTATAATTTCTTTCTATTTTTTAACTTTTCCGCAGAAAAAAATTAGAATTTGCATCAAATTTTTTTCAAGAAAAAATAGATTTTGAGATTTATTAAAATTAATTATTATAATTCAATGCACAAGATTTACGTTGAATTATTGCACACTGGCTTAACAGAATATTCTTAATTATTTGCTGTTAAATGCTTTTAATTTTTCTAGTTTTGTTAATTATATCTCACAGTTAACCAACATTTTATTTTATTTTATGTCAAAGTTGATTTATGATTCAATTATTTCGCAGTTATTTGAATCGTACATTTGCTGATGTACTGTATACGCTTCTCGCGATAATTTTGAATAAAATAATGAAGAAAAATATCTGTGCGTAGATGTATGTGCAAAAATTGCAATATTTAAACATCTATCTATCTGGTCAGTATTTACATTATATTAATAATCGCTTACAACGATTATTTCTATTAGCATGTCAACAAGCATATCAGCAAAATGCCATCCAAGGTTATCAGCAAAGAGTTCTGCGATTTAGAAACATCGTTCTTTTCACTCAATGATAAACTGGATTACTTGAAATAAAGTTATGTAATGATAAAAGCCATTGCGACCAATTGGTACGTGGTTCTGGCATATATTGATTAAGTGGTCAATAGAGAATGAAATGCGCGACATATATGTAGCGGCTATAGCCTGATATTCGGATGTTTTTTCATTGATATTTGAGGAAAAATATTATATATTATTTTTAATTAGTAGCACATATTCTATTCATGTACTAATAATATTCATTTAATCGAAACTCTATGAATTCGTTACTGATAAGAATTATTCCTCCACGTCTCTATGTATTGAAGTTCAAGTATGTGATTTATATTTATAAATGCGAAGAGGAGAGATGATTTGATAAAATTTCAGTTCACTGAATAAATATAAGCAAGTCAGATAAATTCAATAGAAACTTAATACATTATATTTAATCGAAATATAAATTATAAATAAAATTATTTTAATAACGAAATTTCGGTAGATTAATTTTGCAGTTAAATAATGAGAGAGATGCTTTTGTTCTATAATCATAAAATTCTAATGAAACATCTATCAAAAAAAGGAAGATGATTAGATGTACACTTTTTAATAAAAAAAATATAATAAGATTTATTGTATTATCAAAATTATACATGGTTATAATTTGATGAGAAAACTCTATATATGTCTGCATAAAAGTTTAGTTAGAATATAATGGATCTGTATTGCGAGAAGTACAAAGAAATATATTCATTTTATTCACGTGATAAATCGGTCAGTTAATTCTGAAACGGTTTCGCATGTCAAATGATGTAAATTGAGCGATATATTACAATTACTCATCCCATGTCTCTTCTCATTTTCCGCATTTCTCTCTACTTGCATATATTTTGCTTTTTATAATCTGACGGAGTGTTACGCGATGTCTCTTGCAAACGTATTGCATCTCAAAAATTGATAATTCTTAAATTATTAATAGATGTCAAAACAACATTTCTAAAATTTATAATACTTTATGCGCGATAAGTAGTTTACCAATGTTTCTGATTAATATATATAATTATATTTTATATCAAGCATTTTTATGTTTATCACTCGTGTTTCTCACAATGATTTTTTTTAACAACTTTTTTTTGTGTCTCGTAATTCCTCACAAATATGTCTCGTGCAAGATAAAAGTTGGACAGTTTGTGCTTTTTGTTGCTTATTTCCTTAATTAAGTACCAAAAGAGTTAATAACTCTTGTAACTTTTGCGCTTTTTCATAATCGTTTAACGCATAAACGATAATTTATTAGCAATCCGAACAGACACACATATATCTTTTATATATCTTTTTCATTATACAAACGTTACTGGCGATTTAATGATCATATTGCTTCCCACGCAGGATCGTTATCTTATGTTTGATTATCCAGGCGCTTTCTGTTGCTGGCGCATCTATCGAACATGCAAATGCCATGCCGAGATGATAAATCGGTATTGTCTGCAGAGGCCGCGCACACATGTATATGTTTAGTGCGAGTTTAATTCAAAATATAACCAAGCCTGCTAGCTAAATCAGTTAATTCAACTTTGCTATTGACAGCCAGTCACTACCGAGCGCAATCCTGTCTTCTTTTATTTATAGAGCGTTTTAGAGAGCGAAAAGAGAGAAGAAAGAGGCAAGAAAGAAAGAGAGAGAGAGAGAGAGAGAGAGAGAGAGAGAGAGAGAGAGAGAGAGAGAGAGAGAGAGTTGTTCGAATTGGCATTTGGCAGAAATTTTTAAAAATTATTATAAATGGATAGGAAGAGGAGGAAAGTAAAATAGATTAAACAATGAGAGAGCCAAGGATAGAGTGTTCGGGGCTATTGTTGAAATTGGATTGAATTCCGCATGTATATCCAAATATCGGCAACAGGTTTCTAGCAATGGCAGAACGAGGATAGGATTTGCTGAATGGAGATGAAAGGAGGAGGAGAAGGGTGAAGAAGAAGAGAACGAGGAAGAAGGGAAAGAGGAGAAGTGTAATTTTTGTCGGGGGTCAGAACTCGATCACGAGCACGAGGAGATTTAATTAAGGATATTCTAGTGGATGATTGGTGATGTTACATTGAATTGTTATACCGTACAGGAAATCCATATTTTCCACGACACATTGCGCGGAACGTCGCCACAATCAGATCATTCAAGCATACTGGCTCGTAACGCGACATTTCATTAACTTTATTGAAATTATTTAATATTGCTGGACATATTACGCATATTTTATTTAAAATAAAATTAAGCAATTTGAATTTTGACGTAATAATCAGTTTTCATCTTACATAATTAAACTAATAGGATTGCAAAGGAGAAAAATTAACTTTTTAATAAATAAAATACTTTGTATTAAGAACAAGAAAATGTGAATTATCAAAAAATTTGTGCATAATGATAAATATTTTTGTTGTTGGAATTAATAAAACAATGAATAGATCATTTAATTTTTATTCACGCACAAGAGAATGCAAAATTAAAAAAAAATTACTTATCAATTTAAATTTTAAACTAAAAAGAGACACAATCTTTTTTTAATGAATTTCAAGTGAACTTTACTTCACCAGAGTTATAATTTGACATTTAATTATCATGGTAGTTAATACTAAAGAATACAAGTTTTTGAGAAACAAGTTTTTGAAAATAGCTTTTATGAAATTTTTTTTACAGAAAAAAATATTTACTTCAAATATGTCAAAGAATCTATTAAAATCTATTAAGAACTATTAAGAACTGTTAAAATATATTTTATTTAGCAATCTTAAATATCAATCTTAAAGCAGATTTTTCTAAGGATTAAACAATGTTCGATCTAGACTAGAGATTGTTCGCGCTCTCCAATCTCTTACAACGATATCTCAGAGTCGAAAGTGATGAAGGCGATCATTAATAGCTGTTTCACGCTCGAACGAATCAGGGCAATTAAGTACCTGGCCGTCCACCTTTGTCCCTTCTGCTTCTTCACTTCATCCTTTCTATATTGAACCTAAATCAAGAATGTTCTCTTTTTAACAGAATATAATCAAGATAATAATTTGAGAATAATTTATTCTCGGATATTATGCAATAAGAAATTTTCTATAAAACTATGTGTATTGCATAATTTTTAAAAAATATACTGAACGAAGAAGCATTCCTTTTTAAAATATATAAATATTTTTCATTTTTTATATAAGAATCAATATTTTAAAATTAAATACTTTACAAGCGTTAAAATGAGCGTTAAAATTGAGTATTATTAGTCTGATCAAATATGAGCTTGAATTTGCCATATATGCATATCATAAAATTTTTCACTGATTATTGAACAAATTTCATATTAATATCAAATTATTTTTGCGATAATATAAATGAAATTATATATGTATATGTGAAAAAACATATATATAATACTATTGTTTATATTATTGTTTTGCTTTATTTTCAATAAGATTATATATACGTTAATATTATATATATAGTATCATTTAAATAAATTGCCAAAATTACAGAATATATTTATAGATGTAATTATATATATAATTAAATTTATCAATTATATTTTGCAGTTATCGATTTATTCAAATGATTATTTAACAAGTATTTTATTAATTATGTTTTTATTAATATCTTAATTTAATATTCGAGAAAATATCACCTTTAATGATAACAGCAGTAATTTGATGTTCTATGTAAATATTTTGAATAATTGAAAGATACAAAATTGCATAAAAAACTTATTTTAATATCAATATTGCAAGCAACATTTTTCATTAATTAAGATATCAATAAATGTTA